GGCATGAAAATAGGCTCTGCAAAGTCTTTATGCTACCTCTTTGAGACACCTCCCCACAGGCTTCTGTAGATGGTGGTTCTATCTGATGGTGGTTGCCCCTGCAGTGGTCCTGCTGGCTTACTACTCACAATTACTTGAATCATTTCTGTCATAGGAATTGCATGTATTATACTTTGTTCATTCTGTACACATGGCATCCATTGTAGTCTGTCCATCCCGGGAGAGGGATCCCTCCTCTGAGGTTCTCCCTAAGGTTGTATGTGTACAGACTGTAAAGCCCTCTGAGGCTAATTTGTAATTTGCGATTTTGGGCTATACAAAATAAAATGAATTGAATTGAAAAAGCTGCGGTTATCTTGGCCTCCAATAGAGACTCAAAGAAACATTTCAAGTGGTTCCTTCCATCCATCGTCAAAACCGCTTATCCTGCACACAGGGTCGCGGGGGGGCTGGAGTCCATCCCAGCCAACTTCAGGCGATAGACAGGGTACATCCTGGATTGGTCGCCAGCCAATCGCAGGGCTACACAGAGACATACAACCATTCACACTCACATTCACACATCTACGGGCAATTTAAAGTCCCCAATTAACCTGATCCCCAGAGCATGTCTTTGGACTGTGGGAGGAAGCCGGAGAACCCGGAGAGAACCCACGCAGACACGGGGAGAACATGCAGACTCCACACAGAAAGGCCACTGGGCGGAATCGAACCCAGGACCTTCTTGCTGTGAGGCAACAGTGCTAACCACCACGCCACCGTGCCGCCCTTCCTTGTGTACCCAAACTTACTTATTCCATATCACAGCTAAAACACACTACTTACTCACAGCTGTGTAACTCAAAAGCCACGCCTGTATGTTGTATTTTGCCACGTGACTCATGGGTCACCACCGGTGAGCTGGCTGATGTTGTTGTTCTTCACCAGAGAGCTTAACTGTTAAGAACACAGATTGTTTTACTGAAATATGAGATTTGTGTAATTGTAATTGTAATAAAGGTGAAAAAATACATATTTTATGAAGCTGTTTGTATGAGTAACAGAATAAAAAGGAGAGATCTCCCTCACTGTATTCCATTTTCACCTCTGAGACACTTTATTTTTCACCTCTGAGACACTTTACGTCTGCCGATCAAGAAGAACTACGATGACGAAACTTTTGAGTGACACGGGTGTTTTCAGCGAGCCGACTTCCATGTCCAGGCTGCTCAGCGTCAAAGACACTCAGCGGTCCTCATGGCACGGCCCAGCTTGAAAATTGACTGGGACCGTACGCTGCCACAGGAAAAGCAGACTGCAGCTAAGTGGATTAAAGAATAAGAGCACTTATGAGTTAAATGCTTTGGATGGAGGGGCTGGTTAAAAGCAGAAACAGTAAAGGAAGTGGAAGAGAAAGAGGGAAGAATGACAAATATCACAGTCGAGACTAGTCGATAAATTATTCAATGTAACATCTGGGCTTTTTTAGTAATGCCAAAACTGTGGTGAATAGAACATTGCAAGGCAACTTCTATCAGTGCACTCAGAGTACACGTACCTTGCTTATAGTACCCAAAATAGTACAACTACAAGATTTTGCTCCATTCCGAGGATTTAATGATCTCTGTTAGGAAATGACAAATATCGGTAATATTCTCTGATAAAAACTTTTCTCTTTAATATTATAATCTCCTAAATGTGTGTATGCCTGCCCACGCCCCCCGAAAAAGAAAACTAGACAGTTAAGAAGGCTTTGGAAAATCTTTCTAACAAGATTTATTTCACTCGGTGGAGATTTTTATTTGGCTGGTTTACAGACCTCCAGACTCCATCAGCATGTGCGTGTTTGTAAATTGGCCCGCACATAATCTCATTTTAGGCATCAGAGTTAAAGCCAGTAGGAGGTAAGCAAGCACTTCAAAACACATGCTATGAACAGTGATACAATAAACAGATGCTATGTACTGTGTTACATATGTGTGCTTGACCAGTCTCCAATATGTCAGATGGGAGGATTTTGTCTATTTCGCTCAAATGTTGCCTACAGTGTGATAACAAGAAAGATAATTATGGAATTAGAGAAGTGTTGAGCCAATCCTTCAGACCGATACTATGTTACATTCAGTGTTCAGAGCAGTTCACCCCAAAAACAACAACCATAAGGATTAGGAGTATAACGTCCACTAGTGGAGGACAACATTAAGATAAGACCAAAAAGACAAAAAAAGAGTTTAAAATAAATTCTTAAAAATGATAGTTTGTTTCAGCAACACGGAGGCGTGGAGAGGAAATAGAGAGAGGAAGATATTAATCCACCGTCTTGTGTGGAACCAATACTTTGGATGGATCGTGATTCGTCCATGTTTATATTTTCTACCTCATTCCTCTGAAAATGAACGAAACCAAACTGCAATTTCTTCAAAATATTTTAGCAAATTCCAAACATTCCAAATGTTTTTGTCAAGGAAACTTTCTCATTTTCTCACGCAGCCAAAAGGCGTTTTTTTTTTTTCATAGCTTTAACACTAACAAAGGCATCGACCAAACACGGAGGCTTCTTTCCTTTCACATCGAACGGCTTTGATATATAATATCGTTATCTTAGAAGGATTTGTATTCCTATTATGTCCGTTACTCACCAAAACATAATGTGATCTTTGAGTACTGAATGTGCTGAATGCATTTCCTACAACACTTTTAACAGTATTGTAAATCCTGTATTGTTTACATCAATGTTTCTTTGCTGGCACATTGCTGCATTACTGCCACCTGTAGATCACTGTCTCACATCCCCATCATAGGTGAGCAGGTGTTATTGTAAAGTCACTGTTTCTTGGATCACAAATAACATTCAGTACGTCATAGTCGGCTGCGTTCGTGGACTTAGCTGTAAGGAAGTTTTATTATAAGAATGACTGTAAACTCTATGACATACTGTATTTACGATGTAACCGCCTCTCTCTCTACATATTATTCTATGGATTTACACATTTAATACTCTGCCATATGTGCCAGTGTTTTGCAGGACTTTGATATTCCGGCACCCAGTTATGCCACCGGATAAAAGCCCTGTGGTTAAAATGCTCTGAGGGCACTATGTGGCCAGATGGTCTCTCACTAGGAGAGCATATGATCTGCACTCACTATCACACATTAACCATGACATACGTAGTGTACGGTAATAGGCCAGATATACTGTATAGCGCATTTTAGTATAGTATTTAATGGTTGGATTTTTTTTATCTATGCTGGACCTTTTTATTATTTTTGGGCACCAAGTTTCTACCTCACCGTCAGTGATGAGTAACAACATTTAACGTGTGAGTAATAAACACGCATAACACAACACATTCCTTATTCACATGAGGAACCTGAAGGCAATGGGGCAGTATTTTGGAAACCGTGTGGGGACCCACTGGCTATCTTCTGAAGATGATTTAGCTTCTTTTGTTTTTTATTTAAGCCTGGTTTTATCTTAAATCTCTTCTCTCTCGCTCGCTCACACACAGTAAAGTACACAGACAATGATTTGTGCCAAAGTATAGATCCTGCTGTGCTGCTAAATGATCGATAGCCTGCAGGCTGCTGTTGCCATTGTTGTCAATCATTCTCCCCAACAATCAATCAAAATTGTGGCTAAATAAAACCCTTCTGGAGTAAAACGTAGTTTGTTAGGAGAGTAAACATATCACCAGAGACTAAAGGAAACAACCCCAAAATGCAGGAGTGGTCAGGTGTGTAGACCCCAGGTGGGTATCTGTGTTCTACATCAAAACATTGGACGCATCAGAACAGAATAGGTCCATGAGTCCGTTTCCTGCCTGAACTAAACATATGGAATCACAGGCAGAAGGTGTGAAACCGCTGAGGAGTCACATGTATGCTCTACTGTACTGGTCGAAAAGCATACGGCACAGTGGAGGACTCTCCAGGGGTTAAAGACCACACGGAACTGTGGGCAGACTGGTCTTTATTTTCATGAAATAAGACCTACTGAAATGAGGACAGCTCATGAGATTCATCTGCACTGGAACAAGTACATGATGGAATAAAAAGATTGATTTAAACAAAGCATATTCTAATTCTCAAAGGTCAAAATCGACATAAACGCTACTGAAGCTGGGTGAATGCCAATGACCCATTTTTGAAAATTGGAGAAGTGAAAGAGGCTTTGCTCCACATGTCTGGACCAACAGTATTTATAATTACTGTAGGAATTTTGTATGCTCAAAAATCTAAAACAAATACCCGCTCCCTTTGCAGTGTTTTTTTGTATCTTTGGGAATTGTAGACTGAATTATATACAAATTTTGTCCTGATCCTATACTTCAGCACCTGTTACTGAAGTCCTTCTCTCAGTTTTCTAAAGATGATCTGTGCTTCAACAGCTGCTCGGACACATCTTCAGAGATTAAAACTATTACACCCAGCTCATAGCTCTCACAGGATGGTAAGAATAGCCAACATGCTTGTATAAGAATCAGGTGTTTCCTGGAAACTCTAACAAGTGGCCGATGCCCTCAAAGACGAGCGCTGTGTTACATTAAGGGCATTCACAAGTTTAATTCAAGCATAGAATAAAGAACAGACACTTCATGCTCTGTAAATGTCAGAAAAGGGATAACTAAATTACAATAGCTTGAAGGGACATTTGGACAGAACGATTTAAGTTCAACAGACGCAGTGGGGACAGTGTCTTCAACCCACGAAAGACAGCAGGGCAACTTCTGTTTGTAAAAAACGTCTCATCGCGCTCGAAGAATTAAAATCCCTCATTTAACTGCGGATGATAGACACTAGATGCGAGTGGACGGGAATGCTTAGGTGTAACCTACATTGTAGCCGCACGTTTCCGGAATGTATGTTCAAAAACAAAGAAATCCCAAATTCCAAACCACGACTAGAATCCATCCGGCTTTGCCGCCAAGTGCGCGAGAAACATCCGAGCGGAATAAAAGAGACTGCGGCGTCAAATGACACGTCAATCAAAACAACTCACATTCTGCCCTGCAGGTTCTTACCAATTTGGCTGAAGATGAGCAGCTGGAAGATGAAGATACCGGTCCCGGGAAGTGCGGTCTTCATGGTCTCGGGCGAGAGGACGGAGACGTCCAAAGGCAGAATGTGGGTTTTTCTATAAATAAAAAAAGGGGGGGACGCGCGGACGTGGAGCGGCGCTACCAGCTCATCTCCTCTGCCGCCTGAGCGCGGGACGCCGCCGGGGAGGAAGTGCTCGGCTCGGCTCGGCTCGGCGCGGTTCGGCTCGGCTGCGTGCGGTGTGAGCCCTGCTGGCTCTCTGGCGGGGTTTGTTGATAACGGACGCGCACTCGCGTTTATGGCAACGGGAGACGGCCGGGGCCGCGTGCGCGCGCGCTCCTGTTTTGTCGTTACGCTATTACTACGGGACGTGTGTGTCTGCGGCAAGCAAGACACCACGTATAAACCTACAGCAGCTCTATACTGGGACACATTTAGTTAACTGGGAACTGTATTTGTATTTAATAGAATATCAATCTACGTTTAGGTAACTAAATGCATACATGATGATTAAGTGTTTCCACTCTTGGTGTGATGTCATCACCTAATGTCTGTTAAGTAATGAAAATATTATACAAACAGCGTAGGAAGATTGGTTTGTATGTCACATTTAACGCTCCTAAGGCTGCACAGTGACCTGCTTTATGATTATGCAATGACCGAACAGCATATTTTATCGGATTATTACAACGATAAACGCTTGGCAAGAAGGACAAGATATCAAATATTAAATGGAGTCATGTGATTAATACAACAGTGACATAATAGGAAATAAACAAAAACGATAACCGAGTTACTTCAAATGCTTAATGTTAAAAATCAGACAACAAGTTTTTCTCTTGGAGCATCTGACTCACAGAAGGTTTCATTTGACTACCTCGCAAAGCTTCATGGGACAAGAATTTGAATCCAGCCAAGAGAGTCCCACGGCGGAAGCAGTGAGTGTGTATTTGCACTGGTGGGGAGGTTTTTGGCACAGGTTGGACGGCAGGATTCCCATGAAGTAAACAATGGCATGGTCCAAAGGGGGTGTGTGGCTGTGTGTATCTTGGTCAAAAAAATGTGTGTAGTTCCACAAGCTTCAATGGTGCAACACACTAGTTGAGCAGAACGGTGCTTCGATCCCACAAGAACATGCTGCTCTCGTTACTCTGTGTGCATTCATTAGCATAAATTAAGAAAGATAATCCTCTTTAATTCAGGCGGTCGCCTCATATCACTTGTTGGACCAACACTTTTTTTCAGATGCTTGTTACAATATCCTTTCTGCCTCCGCGCTTCCTGTGTCATTACTTATGTGTGTGTGTGTGTGTGTGTGTGTCTGCATGTGCCCGTTTGTGGGGGAAATAGCTGATGGAATAACATGTTGATTTTATCATCATTCTGTTTGATTACAGACAGAAAAAAAGAAAATACAGCCAAAACATAAATGCGAGTGGAAAACAATGATCTCTTTTTGAGGCTTGCATAACTAACGTTCATACAAATAAAGACTTTTTTGAGCTCAAGCCAAACAACGCCACGTGAAAAGATGGGAAACTATCAAACATCATTTTAACAGAACAGTTACATGTTTTCTTTTGACAGGAGTACGGACACAAGCCGTGTGGTGAATGATCCCTGCAGCGCTGAATGTACGCTGCTTTTTTTCCCCCCAATCCTGCTGCTGTGAAAAGATGATTTGCTTTTCACTTCGCAGTGGCAGCCATGGATTATGGATTACATGTTCGCTCTCTCTCTCTTTCCTCTCTCTGGCTTTGCATTTGCAAGAAGAGTGGAGGATGGTCAACAGGAGTCTGTTCTGGTCATCGGCTGCCCAGTGTGTGCCTCTATCTCGCCATGGAATAGATCTTCAGGAAGCTGCCGAACAAAGCTGCAATGATTGCGTCTATCATTCCTGTCCCGGTGGGTTTTAAAGCCAGTGCCAGATTTGAATTTAACCAGTATTAGATGCGTTTCTATCTAGTAAGTCAACTTACTCCTCTTGGGACCATGAACAACAAATTTCATGAAAATCAACATACTTGAATCACCACTTTAAACTTCACTTTAAAGCTTCACAGGAGCTTTAGGTTAAGTTTAAGCAACATAACCTACTAGTTTGGTTAAGGAAATGATTATGAAACACCTGATTAGGATGAGAAATAGATTGAAATTGATTGTTGTAGGGTTTTAATAATTACAGAAGTAAATACGGAAGTAACGTCATAAATCAACGCTGAGATCTTGTTTCACTTGGGGAACAAACAGAAGTCTCCTGATGGATCACCGTTTTTTGGACCCAATTTTACAGTTAGTGGGAGACCCGCTCCACTGAGCCACAGCACCACAGAGTCATAAGACATTACAGTTGTTAAAAAGTTTTTTATAAAATAATTGAAAAAGTGACAAAGAAAGAAAGATGTGAGTTTTCTGTGTGTGCCTGAGCCCCTGTTGCCATGACGGTCGATGCCGTTTCCAAGTTAACAGTGATATTGACTTCCAGCGATGGCGCCTGGAGGTCAGTTTTCTGGACATGCTGGGCTGGCAAATACTGGTCGATGTGTGTGTGTGTGTGAGGGAGGGACGCCATCGGTAGTCGATGCCCGCTATAGGGAGCAACAAAGCACCGCTGGGTGTGAGACCGCTGGTGCTGCACACGTACAGTATGTTGGTAAGGCGCATGGTGTATAGTTCATTAATGCTGAAAACGTGTCTGTGCAAACTATCATTTATTGTAAACACTACAGTGTGTGTTTAAGTGGTGGAGCATATCATTATTTATATTACATGTATTATATAATTATTAGTATTCTACTTGATTAAAATGCTTTTGAGGAATGTTGAAAGAAGGTGTTCCCTTGTGGAGAACCTTATGTATTTATTTATTAAAAAACATTCTTTTAGAGACCAAAAAATCAGAAGACTCAAGATAAGGAGGGTAATGTCAGAGTGGTCACTTATCGTATACATCAAGCACAGCAGAAAAATGGCAGAAGCTGGCAGCCTACATCTGTGTGTGTGTGTGTCTTTTACAACTGAGAGGGAGCATCAGTGTGCTTCTTTAAGGTGTGCGTTTTAGCATTCATACAGACTGTGTGTGTCTGTCTGACATTTACCCTCCCGGCACACTAAAGATTCCCCCGCAGATCTTAAAGTCAAATGACTCATCGCACGAGGAATGTGGATTACCTCATATTTAAGATATTTTACATTATACAAAATGTATCCTGTATTACATTTACATTAATTATTTTATTAATTTAAATCCTAAAACTGATACAAATTTTGAGTTTCACTTTTTAAATTAATTTAATTCTCATTTTAATTGTGAAAGAAAATGGCATCTTACACATATTGACGATACATTTACACTTATTGAAACAGCCAAACTGTGTCATATTAGTAAGTGGAAGGAATCTGGATCCAGTTCTGCTTCTCATTTACATCATCATCTAATGAAGTTTATTCCTCGGATTAGATTAGTCTTTACTTGAGGAAAATAAAGTAAGAAGGAAAAGGTGATGTACATATAGGCGGATCAACCAGTGTTTTTGCCCATTTACTATGGCCCATTGGTTAAGCCATAATGTAACTATTAAAACACAAAAATAAGCATAAACTACTATTGACTTAAGAGTTGGGAAGTCTGAGAAATTGCAGGATACTTTGGAATATGGCTGTCAACCATACAAACAACCAAATAGTAAATCTTGAGATCTTGAAACGTGATTGAACTAAACTCAAACTAAACCCTAAACTCCACACTCTCATTGAGCGTTTGTGTTTTTTTCATTTGTGCATTCACACAACTGACCAGTAGAGAGGGGAACGATGAGCAGTGAGCAGCTGGACACTGAAACCCTTCGGCAACCTTAAAGGACAGAAAAGCTCCAGTTAAACAGAGCACACTCACTATTCATATTTGGCATTTGCCTGCCAGGTTTGTTCTTTTTCTGTGTGAATTAAAAATATAAATGATGTAGAGGCCAAATAAACCACTGACGTTGGTTTCATTACTTCAGAGACCCGAGAGGTACGGGGGGGTGAGCTCTAGCTGCAGGCTGTGACAGCTTAGTCTGCCATGGGACAGGTGCCTCGACTGAATCCTTTTTCAGTCATGATTTCTTTGAATGGATAATGAATCATATTGCTGCAATTGAGTTGCCCTCTTCACGTTTCTAGTCCTCTCCACAAATACTTCAATGCCACCTCTCAGCTGCAGTAAACAGTACTATGGAAGGAGGAAGAGGAGCTGCTCCCGTGCTCATTATAGTCTCAAAATGGAACCGTGGATCAGCTACCTCGCCAGAAAATAAGACTGAATAGGAATATAACTAGAACAGCTGTCCTAGTTTAATTTGTGCCTCTTTCACTATGCGTTTAAAAGCATCAAACTGTCCAAGCTATTTTTGTGAGGAGAGCATGCTATACAGGTCGAGTCATTTTATCAGGCGTATATTTGACGTTTGTACATTTTATACCCCTCATAATATCGTCAGTTGTTCTGAACATGTATTATGCCCTCCTTTCATCATTTGGACGTGTGAATATCATTGCTAATGGAGAGAAGATGTACCTGCATCAGTGTGTTGCTACATCCATCGAAGCATCCTAAAACAAGACAGTTCACATGCGGTGAGTTAGGAGAGCGTCTGTTACTGCGTCTGTTACTGCCGCGTTTCTGCAGCGATCGCCTGCTGAGTCAACCGTTGAAGAGGTATTGGGAGGGCAAAGGGCATCTTGTTGGATTCTCTCCTGATGAAATACAGACTGACTAAACAGGAAGCAGTTAAACTCTGGGGCTCTTGAATGTAAAGATTATACACTCATTTCCAAATGAACCGTTTATTTTGTTTGTTGATCGATCTACTGTTGTATTTAAATAGTTCTGGTGAACCAGCGCCCTCCCCTCCTCACTGGAAGAAAACCGTGTGCAAGTCTGTCACAACACTGCAGTATTGCCACATTGTCTTTTGCAGGAATTGTGTACATTTACACACTTGAACACATTTACAAAACATGATGTTGGACAGGAAGTTTTGGTTTTAAATCTCCATACTGGAGCACACAAAAACAAATTCACTCATTAAAAACCGGGGAAGCCAACTTGAAGTGAGGTCAGTAAATGGTTTGTGGTATGAATAATGAATGAAGTTCTGTCTCTTAAAGTAGCTAGAGAGACACACTCAAGTCACACACACTCGCACAAGGCAACAAAACACTTACTTTCCTAGGAAGAGGCCGAGCTCCTCAACCCTGCATCAAAGTAATCCTTTTTTTTTTTAAATTCACTTCAGTACGCTCAAGCACAAAAATTGAGATGCATTGCTGCAAGGAGCCATGGCAACCAGTGGGGCCATTCTCCATCGCTGTGGATGAGGAAGTGGAAAAAAAGAGAGGGAGCTGATCAACAACAGACGTTTTCTCTGTCTTTACTCACTGCCTGACGATGCACACACACACACCAACAAACCTCACTGTAAATTCACGTAGCTCCACACTTTGCTGTGGAGGAAAGGAGGCTCCCAGGGATGAAATAAACATTTAGAAAATCGTTCCTGATCATTCAAATAGAGCATGAATGTACTCACATGAACACAAAGCAAACGTTTAACCTCAAGATATCGATATTGTAAATCGTGTTTTTTTTTATCACTAATTGAAAGAGCAAAAAAAACATTGTTTTTTACTGTGGACACAACAACAGTGCCATTCCAACTTCAAATGTGAATTTTTTGTAATTTTGGCTACATGACTTAATTTAATGCTGGCATGAAAAATGAATGAAAAGTGAATATGGGTTATTGAGGGCCGGAGTCGTTACGCAAAACAAACCACTAGCTAACTAGTTTTTCGAATACTGCCTTAAGACAACTCAAGTCAGCCGCATCCTCATATACAGTCTATTTTACTCATTTGAAATCACTTCCGACCAATTCATTTGAAATGAATCGACTGTTTCAGTTCTACTCACAGCTGTGCAACTAATTGTCAACTCAAAATCGCATTATGGTGATTATTTCTTTACTACACAGTTTATTGTTAATTAAACATTGCGTAACATTTTGGAAGGTGTCTTACTAACCTTTTTTTTTTTAATTATCCAGCCGTTTATATTCACAAGTAATGTTAAGGTTCAGTTTTTCACTCGGATGTGAATTTCTAAGCGAGCTGCGCCGCCACCTGGCGCATGTCCGCAAACGCGCCATGACGTCATCACAAAGCGACAGGGAAGCACTGCGGTGCTCGTCCTTCACTACGCTCCGCTTACAGAACGTCAAACTAAAAGGCACAGTCAGTGTTTCTCAGATGTTTCTTAGTTTATGGAGTAACATAAGCAAACAGAAGAAGTAGTTGGGAGAAAGACATTATTTCACAAATTATCAACGTTTAATTCGGCGAGTGACAGATGAGCCTTTGAGACTCTTCACGTCAGCTAACGTTAAGGTCAGTTTACCTTCTTCTTTGCGTAGTGATCGCTGAGACCGATTGAAAGTAAGTTATTTATCTAAACACAGTGTTGTGGTGGCGAGTAAATTCAATTGAGATGCGTGGGTCTTTTGCGGCTGACCGGATACAGAAACAAAGTGACGTGATTATCAAACTCGTATTCCAGGACGGAAGAGTTCACCTGTAACACCTGGTCCCTAGTCACCTCGTCAGAGTAGCGATGACCGCTCCGAACTCGACGGAAAGGAAGGCCTGCTGGGACGCGAGGGACCGTCTGTGGAAATGTCTGGATGACAATGGTGACAAAGTTGCCTCCTGCCACAAGTTCCAGAGCGAGTTTGAGGCGGATTGTCCCTCGCAGTGGGTAAACCACCGCCTCCTTTTGCTCAACATTTGTGATCAGCGTGCTCCGTATTTAATGTCAGAAAGCATGAAGCACATGCACTGTTTTACGGGACACAATATTAACCATTCTGAAAAGTTATTGTTTAAAATTATATTAGATGGTGAAAGGCCATGGTCATTTGAGGGAGCACCGGCAGGTTGTTTCTCATGTCCTTTCTGTCTTCCTGACAGGTGAAGTATTTCACCAAGAGGAGAGACTTCCTAAAGTACAAAGACAGGATGCAGGCAGAAGGATTCAAACCTGCTGAAGAGACACAGCAACCTTCCTCCTAATACCTGGACCGCAGGCCGAAAAAATTTCAGCCTCATTTGGCCGACAGGGTGGAGGCACGGGAGTCTCCTAACTCTTTTTTTTAAATGGACAGAATACCTGAACTGCGCCTGTGTCGTTATGTGTTTGTAGAGATAAATGCTGAATCCAGATGTTTAAAAGAAAGAAAACCAAAGGGACAATTGACAGAAAAGATCCACGGTTAAATGTATCAGGTAATTTGAATTTACCCTCTAAACGACATGTCCCATTTATTGATGTGGAATAAAAATAATAATAATAATCAGTGTGGCCCTTACTCATATACAGAGGTGTAGTCTACCTCATGATCAATTAAGTTTAATAATCCCCAATTAATACTAGTAATGACCGTATCCAGCAGTAGTCCGACTTGTGTTGCTTGTAAATAAATAAGACCCATACAATCAGGGTTTTAAGTTGTTTTATTGTTGTGCGTGTATGTTTCCACCACCTTAACTCTAGTATCCGTCTGAAAAGACATCAAGACAACACAAAATTTGAAATATTACAGCTCATTTTGGAAACAGGCTTTATATTACAAATTTGTGTGTATTTACAAGAAATGTGAGGCCCCTGGGTCAAAGGTTACTGATGCAACACCATCATGATGTGTCGACCCTTCAGTAGAACTGAATAAATTACAAAATAAAAGTGTAGGCTTTTAATTATGCCCACATTACTTTAAAATGCAGGGATATAAAAAAAAAACTTTATTTTTGCACATGACAGGGAATGTTATGTTTAAACCTTTTCAACATCAGACAACGGTTATGATTTGACAGTTGATTGAACAAACGTTTGTATCATCCAACCCTGTGCGACTCCTCTCTCACTTTCCTCTGAAGTCTTTTTATGCTACATTCAGCAACCTCTGTGAACATGGAGGCACTTTCACAGCCTTCCAAATCTGTATTTCTTGTTGGCCTGAACATGCCCGGAGAGAAACCAAACATACTGTTGGTTAACATGCACCATATCTCTTAAAACACAGGCTTTTGTGATAATAATAGGCCATTTATTCTAGATAAGTTATAATAAGATGTTTTAATCATGTTGGCATAACAACCTCGTGACCTCAAGCTTGCAAAATACTTCAGACTTCATAATCTAACACTTAACATTTCAGATGCATTCAATATGATGCCAAAATAAGGCCATAGACAAAGAAGTGAAAGCTCAAACATCCAAATGGCATAAAATACAGTGGTTTGATTGTTTACACTCTTAATATTCTAACAGCATCAATTGCACAGTAAAAAGCACTGACTGCTGTCTGTAATTTACGGAGAATGGCAGTTAACCAAGCTCCTGCACTGCTCTGAGATTAAATCAAGGCAGGAACGCTGTCAGGGTTTGAGTTTGGATTCGCGCGAGAGTCAGTCCTGCCAAAAGAGCAGGAATTGATATGGAAAAAAAGGAACCGGTGGGTACTGCCACTTGCTTGTTTAGCATCAACAGTGTGATGGGACTCAGAATCAGCTCCAGAAACGTTGGTAAAGACATCAGGCACATATAAAGACACCAAGATTGTCAAAGTTATACAGGCACTCTCTGAAAATATCCATAAACCTCTTTTAAAAACCCACATCCTATCATGAGATAGTACATCTGAAAGGCATAGTCGCAGCCTCATATTCTCTCAGCAAACCTGTCACCAGCTAATTGTGTTGCAAGCACCCAGCTAAAAAGTCTTACCGGCCATGTAGCTTATTACTATCTAAATACTGATCCACCGAGTAAAGCATGATGTGTTTCTATTTTAAATCAAAGAACAAAACATCCATTTCCTGATCACCCAAGAAAAAAATCCAGCTTTAACAACACGTTTATCATTCTCCATCAAACTTCGTGGACAGAAGTAAAAAAAAACGTTTTGTCTGGATCCAGAGCTCCACACAGTTCTGCTTTTCTCGTGATGGCCCCTTTGTGGCCAAAACAATATGATTTGAATTATTAGGCAACAGGTAATGGTTCTCCGCTCTCCTCTTCTTCTACCCCTTCTCTTCATCCTCAGGTCCATTTTAACCAAAAAGGACTGGAATCTGAGCAACACAGTACTTTCATCCTTCTTGTCTTTTCTTTACAGAAGCACTTTACTATAAGCTCCCGGTGACGTTCCTCGCCACCGCCCAGGCCGGGAACTCGTTCAGGTTGAATAAGGGCGCCCCCCACGTGGTGATGGCCAACATCACCACCGCCACGCCTATCAGGTTCACCCCGAAGCCTGCTTTCACCTGGAGGAGAAGAAGAGGGAGGGAAATACCACATGGTAACATGTTTAAAGAGGTTGAGTCGAAATCATTCAACTATACAGAACTACATTTCAGAATAAGGTTCAGCATAAAGACCATCAAGAGTTAAGAATGAAAAAAATCTCCATCCCTCCAATTATGGTAATAAAGTCAACAACTCGCTGCGCTCTGGAGGCTTTTGGAGTTGCAGGTGCAGAAGAAGCATGTGACCGAGTGTGTGTGTGTTTGTGTCGTACCATGTCACTGATCTTCACGTGGCCGTAACTGAAGACGATGGCGTTGGGGGGGTTCCCCACTGGAAGCATGACCCCGAATGACACGCACATGGTGGATGGAATCAAAGTGTGGAGGGGGTTGATGCGCAAAGTCTCTGACTGGAAGGAGAGGAGGGAAGTGGGTGAAGAATAATGGGGACGGGGGGAGCGGGGGGGGGGGGGGTGGAGAAGGAAGAGACAGAAGGAAAGACAAAAGCAAATGAAACAGCAGGCAAAATTTGTACTTTGCTCAAAATGGCCGCTGCTGCGTGGACAGAGTAGCTTCTGCAACGCAGCAAAAGCAAACCTTTGTAAAAAGCATTTCAGGTCAAGTGTGTCTATAAAATGAATAGTTTGGCATTGAAAGGGTTGGCACCACTCTCACATTGGTCTGTTGTGTAAAATTGAAGTTGCGTTTTCATGTGCCATAACATTCCTGTAGTCCAGAAACTTTTGGATGGCGCCAGCAAGCTCAGACTATATGGTCGTCATATTCAGTCAATTTGCCAGTGTGCTAATTCAGAAGAAAACGCCTCTTCATCTGGCTTGATTGGTTGGTATTGGACAACCAAGTCCTGAGTGCCAGTGAGAGTGTGAGGGGTCGCGTGTCGTACCAGTGCTGACAGAATGGGGAGGAAGACGGTAAGGGTCGCCGGGTTGGAGGCAAACTCTGTGACCGCCGACACCAGCAAGCAGGCCAGCAGGGTGACGGCCCACGGAGGAAGACCACTCATGGGCTCCAGCTGTCTGCCGATCCACATAGACAGGCCTGACACCTACGCACACACACACAAGAACACATGTGAGAATCCTCAAAAGGTTGCAACCACGTCTCCCTGAACCTCTGCTGCTTTGGCCTAAAGCCCATCAATTAACTCAATGTTGTGCAGGCTGACCTTTCATGAGAGGACATGGGGCGTGTAATCTTTGAGAATGGGTCCTAACGCCTAAACACTACTGCAATGCAACAACACACACAAACACATGCGTAGTACCTTGCAACCAGCAGCCAGTGCATAGCCTCCTCCCACCAGAATGACGATCTCCCACGGCATCAGCCTCTGAAAGTCCTTCCAGGTGATCATAGGAGCCAGCGGGTCGGATTCTGAATTGTCATCAGGTGCTTGAAAAGCACAGAAAATAGGTCAATACTGCTGAGCACTAACAGGTTGACCTGTTGAATATCTAACTAACTAATAAACTATTTTTAAATAAGCGTCTTATCTATGAGTTTTCTGCTTTTATGTATATTTTATGAATTTTAAAACCTTTTTTTTGTCTGGTTGGTAATTTAGGGACGATTTTTCTGCTGACCTTTTATTTATTCTTTGCATTGTAGTATACAATATGTATGATCAAGACTTTGCTAGCAGTGGTGGCTCCGTCAGGGCCATTTAAGCCTAAACAGAATCCAAAAAGCTATTTCATATATTTTTTATTTTATAAAATTGTAGATGTATTAGAATTATTTTTCCCATTTGCTTATTTACTCATTGCACAGCTCCTGTCTTCCTCTGTTTCTCTGCCTCCAGTGGAGTTTGTTTTAAAGAAAGCTTTTATCCAATCAGATTCAGTCCCTGTGTCTCTATGTAAGAGGCCTCCAGGTAGACTTTGCACATTAAAGTATACGGGGACGATATTGTTTGTAATAGTTTTCAACCAACTAGATCTTTAGTTTGATATAGCCGAGGTAGCCTCATTAGTACGTCTGTATTACATTACATTACATTACATTACAGGTCATTTAGCTGACGCTTTTATCCAAAGCGACTTGCATTACAGTTTTAACCCATGGCTCTTACATTTGCCCGTGGGGAGCAATTAGGGGTTAGGTGTCTTGCTCAGGGAGTCCGGGACTCGAACAACCAACCTTGTGGTTCCCAGCACGCCCTCTCTACCCCCTGCCCCACGACGTACAGCACAGTGCTAACGTGCACTGTGATTGGTCAGTGGGCCAGTGTGACTAGCGAGCAGATCTTAGTGTTTAAAAAGAGTTCACGATGAACTTTGTAAATAGTGAACGGCATTTGGTAACTGTTTTTGTGATGTTTTATTATATTATCCTTAAAGTCAATACAGCTGAAAATATATTTAAATTCTGAGTCCACCCCACCATTGTTTGAATACATTAAATGCAGTGCAACCATAAATGGATGGATGGGTGTGTGGTCCTGACCTGTGCCCCTATAGCTGGAGGAGGAGGAAGAGGAGGAGAAGGGTCGCCTGGCAGGGATGAGGAAGAGCAGGAAGCCCAGAAGGACTGACACTGTTGCATCAGTCCTGTAGCCTTTCCTGAGGGACAAAACACCCACCGATGTAACGCAGATACAAAAGATGCAGAAGAAGAGCTTCTAAACTCATTTGCATTTATCTCGTTGTCATACGACGATAAGTGTAACTATGGTGCATTATGGGTACTTGCTTCTCAAAAAGAGATGTCCAGCCGGGCACGAAACCAGGCTCTCTGGTGAACCACAGTAGAGTCATCAGGATGAAGAAAACACCGGTCACCACCTCTGGGTAGCTGAGAGTCACACACACACACGCACAGAAACCCGCAATAATTACACATGTGATAACATGTTGTTGCCCCATCATCATCTGTGTGTGTGAGTAAGACACAAATACACACAGAACCGTGCCAAACCTCTTCAGATGTTTACTGGGGGATAAATAATTGGTGAATATTCTCTATCCAGATCTTCTAAACTGTCCGACTTCCCGCCAGGTTCATGTTGTTGTTCATTCGCAGGAGAAACGTACCTGATGGGTCCTAGTTTGGCGTACTCCTCCTGGATCCTCTTCTCCGACAGCATCTCTCTCCTGGTTTTGCGTTTCTTACTCCACGAGCATGTTTCCCTGAAGCTGAACAAACACAACAACAACAACAACAGGATGAATAGCATAACAGCGCCTTGATACATCTGCTTTGTTTCCTGTTTCATCTTATGCTGCAGCGACAGGACGCCAACGGCAGACACAGAGAGAGGGATTCTGGTGAGTCTACAGTAATAAGATGTGTCACTTCCACACTGACGTAATCACACAGTAAAGTAGGCGACACGCAACCAAACACACAAACTCACTTGCAGCCGAGGAAGAGAAAGTGCAGCCACAGCCAGGTGAGAACCAGCATTATGATGGCGATTGGGAAGCTGAAGATGAACCACGTGCCGAAGTTGATGACTTTCGCGCCGGGGTAACGACTGAAATAACAAAGCAAAGGACAAAGAGTTTATTCAACGTCAAATGCAGGCTGTCGTCCTCGAGAAAGAGGCCTGATGGCATATGGGGTTTGAAGTTAGAGAAACAGCGGCACAAATATTAGCAACCAATCATTGACGACAAAGTCCATCGTGTAAGAACACTCACACTGATTTTGCTGTGTGTGTTTGACAAGTGTGTGCCATATTGATGTATCTTTAAAGGCTGAACCTTGTAACCACTGACACCGCTTGTACTGATAAAAATGGGAGTTTATCCCATAACAAAACAACCATTCGTCCCCCATCAACCGCCCGCTGTGACCTCCGGCCTCTGCTTTGACTGACAGCTGTCATCCCCGTCAGCTCATCTGTGCAGCAGCTGAGCTGACTGTCCAGCCCACTAGCAAAAGCAATATAATGTGGATGAACTGCTCCTGAGCCTCTGTGCACATTTTCAGCTTACTGTTACTGTTGATGTTTAGTGCTTCACAATGAAATGTTTGCAGCATGCAAGGATGTGATTGATTGACCTGGTCGTACCAGCATGGGAGGGTGCAGACAAGGACTTTAAAACTCACTGACCTCATTCACCAGGCACCTCTCACACATACTTGCCTTGACCTGATCAGGTTTTGTTTTTATAACAACAACAACAACAACAATATATATATAACAATATAACTTTTTTGGCATTATGTGTTGCTTGGATTGATTACTGTTCCTTGTACCATCCTTCCAGGATTACTTGTACTCTGCTCTCACACACACGCCGAATCCAAACCTGACCTTTGTCCAACAAGCTGCGACATGAAGGAGGCCATTCTGCCGGGCTTAGTGCAGCGGCTGGAGGAAATCCGCTCTGTTTGGACCCGCAGAGGCTGATTAGTTTGATCTCAGACCGTGCGAGGCCCCCAGACTCCGGGTTATCTTGAACTGTCTCGGTCTGACCGGCACGGCAGCCAAGTATTCAATCGAGCTGTAAATAAGCTTGTTGAGATGGTGTCGACGGAAGCTAATACCTGGCCAAAATAACTTGCGGATTGCGGATGCCGCTCCACCCAGAAGGCTTTCAACAGTGTGCGTTTTTGGGTACCCACGTGTTAAACTGCTCGGCGAAGATGAGGTTGGTGGATGTGCCGGTGATGGTGATGAGGCCTCCGATGGTGGCGGCGTAGGTGATGCTGAGCGACAGGCATTTACAGATCATGTGGTCCTGCTTGGTGGGATACTGCGAGTCCCTCCTGGCCTTCACCCGCTTCACGTTCGGAATTTCAATCGTGAGCTGAGAGGGAGGGAGAGGGATTTTGTGTATGAGGAAAATTCCAGACACTAATTGATTGAGCGTTTCTCCATGCGCGTGTGTGTTCCTCACCTGCGGCAGGTGTCCGTTGGTGTGCCCGATGAAACCATTCGTTCCATCCTCGCCTGTACAGAAATCCTGTTTAGGGCAGTCGCTGCTGTACGGACCAGAGGAGAAAACATGAAGACTTCACAAAGAATAAAGATTGGCGGTTATCTGCACTTAAAAGTAAAGTGCTGCAGTGCAGGACGAAGGGTTGTGATAAGCCGAAACAAGAAGTTAGCATCGCGCCAATTAAATTTAATTAATCCCCTGCACAAATAGCGAATAGTATTTTTGGTATCAAAGAAATCTCAATGGTAAATCTTTTTATGACGCTTACAGTCACACACGCTTTATTCAGCTCCATAATGTTCTCAAATTAACACAACACAACATGTCTTTGAAGCGGTAATGCGATTGGCAGAAGTTAAATGTCCAGGGTCACATGACTCCACTAAACAAAAAGAAAACTAGTGTTTGGCGTGACGTAAAATCTCTTAGCCTTAGACCCAAAGAAAAACCCATTGACTTCAACATGGGGGAACCCAGACATGCTGACTCATTTAGGAGTTTTAGGACTCAGTCCTGCAGCGGCCTATTGCTGAAAAGATATCTGAGAAAAGTGAAATTTACTTTAAAAGTGGAAATTGGAATGTGTTAAATACTGGGAATCAATGGGAATTGCAATTGAGTAGAAAGCAATGAAAATTGTAATAGTGGATATTCGTCACTTTCACACACACACACACACACACACACACACACACACACACACACACAAACATACCTGTCGTTGCGATAGAGCAGCTCCAGCTTGTTTTTGTCAAAGTTCTCTTCTTTGTCTGAAACAGCTGGAGGAAAAAAAAACATTCATCACAAGCCAGTTTGTGGAACGTGCTGAACAATAATCACTATGAAATGTTCCGCCACAATTGGATCCATTTATTTTCTTAATGAATCACATATTTGTGACTGTTGTCCACACGCATTCTGGCGTAGGTGTTGTGTCTCTATTTCTATCAAGACCTGTTTAACAAGTCATTTTTTTGTTTTTCCAAAGAAGCTTTTAGAGTTCAGTGACCTCCCCCTGCGGACACGTTGCCAGACGTACCGCTGTCCTCCTCGGGGGCCTCAGTTGTTTCGGAGTCGGCGGGGCCATCGGCCAGGCCGGTGCAGATCAGCTGCTGCAGGACCGCCTCTGCGATGGGCATCACCATGGCCGTGGTGGACGTGTTGCTGAGCCACATGGACAGAAACACTGTGCAGCACATGAAGCCCAGCACCAACCTGGAGGAAAGAGAGAGACAGTGAATGTACTTAGTCTGCAAGTGTGTGCTTTTAGATGTATGTAGGATAACAGTGTGAGTCCTATGAGATCATATCTCAATAGCAAAATCCCCCCCATCACAACAGAAAGCCACTCCATCTCTTACTAGCAAACATGACACCAGCCATCCTACTAATATTAAAATGATTATTGTGTGAGTATACATATATACGTAGACATATACAACTGTTATTTAATTTTCCCTCCTTTATAAAAAAAACAACAGTGTTAGTCCTTCCTGGTAGTTGTTGCAACAGGACTGAGTGTGTGTGGCGAGTGTTTGGGTGTGCGTGTGTGCTGCTCACATGCCAGGCTTGGCCCCTGCAATCATCACCATGCGCAGAGCGATGCGTTTGTGCAAGTTCCACTTCTCTATGGAGGCGGCCAGGCAGATGACTCCCATCAGCAGCAGAGTGGTGTCTTTACAGTACTCCGCTGCCACCTAATCAAACACAAAGTGGAACATATAAAAAAAAAAAGGTTTGTGGCGGGTCTTTTTGCTTTTCCCTCCTTAAGCTTAAGTTTCCCACTTGTTCTTTTTAATCTGGCCCACTTCCCGCCCCCAGGGTGCTCGGCCTCTCAGGGTTGTATAAGACTGCGTCCCTTCACCTCTCACCTAAAGCCTACTGCAGTTCCTCCTGCTGGATATTTTTAAATTGTAAGCTATAGATGTAAGATAACAGTCATTATACTTATTGTTCTTTGTCTCATCTGTGTCATCGATACTCATTTAGAAACCTTGCTAATCACACCTAACTTACATGGTTGATAAAGTCTTTGAAATACATAATTGAATGCATGTACTCAGTGGTGGAATGATGATGGATCGCAGATTAATCGAGTGTCAAAACCTTTGCCGCTGAGCGACAACGCCTCGGCACTACAGACGCGAAATGCAATAAGTGACAAAGTAGTAATGAAACCCTACTGGAAACTCATCCATAAAACTTAACACATTCCTAAAAGAATATAGACACATGCAAGAGGATCTGATTCCTTGAAACATACTTGGTTCTGAACTGAACACACAATTGGATTTACATCCACTTATACAGTTATCTGATTAGCTGACCAGCACACGATATCTTTCCTATATGACTGTTGTATATGATTTGATTTTTAACCTCTTCACTCACTTTTCCCCTTTGAGAGTGACAAAAGGTTGACGCCCTGCCACAGAGCCCTTGTTTACAAGCAAAAAGATGTATGTTTTACATCCCATACAGAAAAACAGAGATGTTCTGACAAATAGTGTGCAGGGAATGGGTGTCCTCAGTTACACAAATGAACTTTGCTCTGCCGCATATAAATAGAAAACCACAATGGAACTGTAAGTATGCCATGAAAACCAACACATTTCAGCAGAGGCTAATCCAGATTGAGGTTAACAGAGTTCATTGTTACACACCATGACCCTGCTCACTATGGCCTTTATCATTATTTGGGTTGAGGCAACCTGGGTTCTTTGCTTACAAGGGAATTTCGAATCACACAGACTTCTGCAAAGTGAAATCAATGTAAATGTAGTCGCTGTTATGAGATACGGTTATCAGCGGGAATTAAGCAAATCAATGTCAAAATGGTTGGTTAGCAAAATAGATAAAGAAAAACAATGTATTCATTATGTCGAATAAAGTTATAGTTGTCACAAAAATCCTTCATGCCGAACTTTAAAAACGAACAATACATAGAGACTCACCTCGCTGGACTTGAGAACCCCAAATAGCGGATAGAGGAAGGCTGGTACCAGAGCAGCAGCGCCCAGGGGAACAGCCTCAGAAACCCAGTAGACTGCGGTCACCATCAGCACGTACGCACAGCATGCTTCCTATGAGCGCGAGGAGACACACCAGGTAATAAATAATACTCACATGTCAACAGCAGGTCCATTTAGAAATGTTTGGCAAGTTTATGAAACAAGAGAAGCCCACAGCCAGGATACGGTTAGCACGTGGTAATGAGTGGAAGCAGGACGAACGGCTAAAATAACGCACACCCCATTAATTCAGCTTCATCAAGATTGGTCAGATATCAGAGTGGTAGCAGTAAAGTTTTTGTAATTGCCATGATGTGTGTGTTGTCTATACTCTAATCCAACGGGGCTGCGTACACTCACATACTTTCCCCTTTTGCCCACACACACACACACACACACACACACACGGTTATATAATATCGACATACCAGCATCTCGTGCGTGACAGTGACAGGCTCCTAAAACTTAAAAACTAAAGAGGAATCTTCAGACCAGGTGAAGATTACAAATGTCTTCATTTAATCAGCACAATTTCACACCCCAAATGGACACTCAAACTGCAGAAAAATGCTGGACAAAAGAATAAACAGATTAAATGTAAATCAAATCACGGAGACACTGTCATTGGTAACCTGCTAACCACATTTGTTAAAACAGACAGCGTCCACTTCTGCTGTGTGAACTTGAAAGGGAATAATTCAGCATAACCCTTTGCCAGCAACATGTCAATTAATCTCAAATAAATAAACGCAGAAGGAGGATCATTAGCATCAGCGCTTCAGGATGCAGCATGGTGGCCAGACCTTTGACCTCAAAGGCATTCGAACCACGGACTACAGAAATCCCTGCTGAGTGTGTAGCATAAGACACCGCTCCGTTGAGTCTTGTTGTGGTATACAAATGTAGATTTAAGTTATAAAATGTCAAAAAAAATTCATATTGATTTGATTTTAACGCTTTCACAGGGGAGTTCCAGTTCATGAAGGTTAATTGTAACATTTTGGACACCTAACATCTTTTTTGTTATCCAGCGTTCAGTTGATCCTATCCTCTCCTATTCTATCCTCTGATGTCACTTCTGGTGGTAAAAAGCCAAAATGGCAACGGCCAAAAACCAAGATGGCAACGGCCAATAATGTGAACCCGAGGCTTCAAAACTACGGTTAAAGAAACAAAGGGGAAGATTTAGGTAACTCCTATTATATGCAGTATTTGGGATCACCAGCGTGCTTCGAGCAGCTGTCTTGTTTTGGCTTTCATTGCACAGGTTGTAACTCAAACACAACAATGTGTGCTCCTGTTTGGATGATTCGCTGCGGATTAATTTGGCAAGAGGAAAGCAGTATTTCCAGGCACAGCTGTTGGATTAGGCAGGGAAAAGAACAAGTTGTTATAGCTCATAACAAAAGAGGGCCTCGCCAGAGAAAATGCATGAATCTAAATCCTCCTTAAACACACACAAAATTGAAAGAGAGCATGTAGAAAAGCAAAAAAAAGAATAAATGACCCAAAACAAACTGCTTATTCTGCATTTGGTAGTGTTGATTTAATCAGCAACTACATATTTCAAAAACAATAGGGTGGCCTGATGACAGGATTAAAGCAAAGCTAGGTTTTAAACTGTTAATCTGTTGTGGAAAGAGGAAAAGAGAACTAACAAATAACAAGATAAACATGAACAACTACATTTTGAGCCACTAATTTAGCTTTGAAAGTGTAATATCTCCGGCCGGCAGATATTTAAAATGAACCCACCCTAGAGTTCCATATGTGGTTTCACATATGGATATTTTATGACCAGCATATCTCCATAAACAAAAAACTTCCGTGAGATGAATTAAATGTTTTACAGCTGGGAGGCCTCAAATATAACAGAAAACTATTGATTGTCTCATCAACCCTCTTCATCTGTTTACATGGATTGGTATTTACAGGAAAAGAAGAAAACACACACACAACTCCTGACAGGCAGATTAGGTCACAGCTAAAACCTCTATTAACTGAACCAATCAGCAGAGGACAAATGGCCTTCTAAACTGACAGATAACATTAACACATGTGCAAACAGTCGGTGGTTTATCCATATTCAGATAAAACACCACAGACAAAAGCCAACAAATCCAAAAGTAAAGCCTTAAAACCTACCTTGTCTATTTTGGTTAAATAAAGCAAAGAATAAAGAAACCAGCTATACAGAAACTTATGCACTCAACAAAAAAACATCCGCTGTTGAGGTACTATGATGTGTGCTCACAAATAGCAACATGGAAATCCCTTCAAAGCACCATAATCTGATGTATAAAGGGCCAAATGCACCCAACTAAACGGGGGCATATCATGCTCTGTATCAGGTTCATTCTTGCATTTCAAGTTTATACAACAACATGTGTCACCATAAAAACATCATAAACCTGTAACATACTTGAACTAATCCTTTGTCGGAAACAGTAGTATCCATCTCTTTAAGTGCCTTTCGTAAAAGCCCAGTCTGCTCTGATGGGCCTGCATGAATAATAAGACTGTGGACTAAATGGTAGACCACCATTTTCAACCATTTAATTATAAAATTCACCGTATTGTTATTTGGGCTCCTGGGTATTTTCTTTGTATTCAAGTATACATTGTGCGGTGCTCACTTCTCTTCTATAACTTGTCTAATCTACAGGGTTATGGGATGCATCTAACATTGGCTTTGGATTTTTGTCAAGTTTCTCTCGCAGTCCCTCTGACCTGCTTGACTGTATCCAACAGATGTTCTGTCCTTTTGCAGCTGGACGCAGTACTACTCCAAACACACACACACTCTCTTTAAACCCCTGTCACATTCTTGACACAGTCTGGGGTCCCCGGTGTTTTAAGGTGGGGGTCAAAATCCAACGTGCTGGTTGGTGATTACATAACTTAATTGCTCAGATTGTTTCTTTTCTTTTTTTGCAGTGAAGTTTTCGTTCCGTCTCGCCCTCATTCTGTGCCACTGACTGAGGACACACTTATACCTGTAACACAGAAGAGCCCGTTTATAATACATTGAGACACACTTGTAACAACCTGGGGAAGTGTTGTCTTTGATGGGGCTTCATTAGCACCTTATTCAGCAAGTGCTGAAAAAACACGACTGAAAGTTCATGTTAACGATGTGGTAATGAGCTTGTGACTGCCGATTATCTACAGGAATGTTTTATCCCATTTTGCATGTTATGTGCAACTTCATGCGTTGATTAAGCGCAGCTTAATCACCAGACTCAGTCATACTATGATTGTTATGAAAAGAATTTTTGGTGTTTGACAAAGATTTGAACGTGTCCAATGTAAGATGTAGGATCTCCCTCGAAATGATCAAAGTGAGTTACAGTGAAAAGAATATTATCTATTTTTAAGTTCCATCTGTATTTTCTGATCTAGGTAGCTGGAAATGTTGTTTTTGTAAAGCTCCAGAAAAAGAATTCATGTATTATTTGGTTGAACGTTTTAGACTTTTTGTATGAAACTATAAAATAATGTTAAGAAGAGACAAAAATGCATTTTTCTTCCAGCTTTTCAAAGATTAAGACATTTTTTAGAAGATTGAGAATATTGTTTTTGCATAGAACAGCGATGGGACTGTAACAGTAATAACGTGGCAATGCATGAAAGGCATAAAGGGAGTTTATTGTGGATCGTAAGGAGCCGCAGGCCTAATTATAGTAAATGAATCACACTGCAAATAAATCATTGTCTCTTGACGAAGAGCAACAAAACTACCACGCAAAAAAAGGCCCACTTACAGTTGGATGTTATGTTGATATCTTTAAATAAGTTGTGGTAAACAAATGATGAATTGTCATGGCCTTTGGGTCCGCAGAAAAGATGTTTGATACAAATCCAAATCCGTCTGATATTATAATACAACAAAGTTAACAGGCAAAAATGATCAAATATTGGTTTCTGAGGTTACCAGAGTTATGTCTCCTGTGCATTCACACACTTTATATGAACGTTAAACATGAGCTAGAGGCAGAATGAGAACTTCTCAGACGTTGTCACAGAGTGAGCATCAAGAGGTTTGCTCCTTCTCTCTCCTTCTTAAGCATCATCTCCATCTCATCAACATGTCGTGACATCTCCCCTCTCCACACACAGCTCAGCTGATGATCGGGAAAGCTCGAGACAAGCATTCATCAACACAGTGAACAGTGTGCCTTTTGATTCAATCGCTGTAGTATGTAACTCACACACACAAACACACACACACGCGCGGACCCACTCACACACCACTAGTACCCATCAAGACGATGAAGCCATTATCCGCTGGCAGGAGGGACACATCAGCGTGGTGTTTTTTTAGGTAGGCTATTTATTTGATCACATTTGTAATAATGTCTAACTAAAAACTCTTAATAGCAATACATTCCATATTGTTGTACTCACGCTGGTGGGGTGGATGAGAGGTAAGGGAAGCAGCGACAGCGGGATGAACACCACGAGTATCAGCTTCCGCGCAGTCCACAGCTTCCTGAACACATCCATCCTGGCTGCGGCCTCTAGCCTCATGGATGACCCGGTGTTCTGGATCGGAACGGCCACAACTCAGCAGAACGCAGCGTGAAAGTCACCAACCGGCCGACGGGGAAACGCTCACGCCGCCAAACAACCGGAGAAGCGAGAGGGAAGCAGTCTCCTGGGAGCGCGTAAAGTTCTGCCTTTGGCTGGACACTTTTACGCACAGACCCCAGGGCGGTGATCGGATCTGTGCGTGGCATCCGTGGGGTGAGTGACCTTGCTTTTACTTCCACTCTCGTGCCCAGCACAGCAGAGCCGCAGTCCCTCTCCTCCTCCGTGCGTGTGGTGCAGCGTGAAGCATGAGGTGAGGCTGCCGCCTTATTTATAAGTCCGGAAAGGTATGCTAATTAATCACGGCTCTGCCCCACCTTCTCCAAACCTGAATGGACCAATCGGGGAGAAGTCAAGTTTTGACCGGGGGTGGGTTTGTGCACGTGCAAGTTCTTGTAGCAAAGCTGTATGCAGGAATGTAATAGTGGGGTTTTGAGAGAAATGACACGTAGCCTACTATCTTTAAATATTATTTGAATGGCAGGGTAAACAGAAAAGTTTATATGATAGTTATTAACATGAAGCAGATGACAATACAATATATCCTTATTCTTGTGTGAATGTATTTCACATAATATAAAATAGTGATTTTTTAAAGTTGTGATATTATACACCATCAACACCCTACCAACGCGGAAACTGGTACGCGCGATCCCAGTGTGCAGTGTGCACCCTAACGTACTCGCGGACTTTGAGTCCGAATGATGCTCAAATAATAAAAGTATTACATAAATACCCTCAATTGTAAATCATATATTTTGACGTTGTCTTTGTGACGTGACATGTGGCAACTCAAATCTTTCAACCAATTAGCAGGTGACGTCAGTGAAGTCCCTGGGCGGTTCAGGGTTCAGGAGGGACATTGGGATTGAGCCTGAAAGGGACCCGATTAGTTGATCACACCGCCCTCAAGAGTATTCTGGGTAGTGGTGCAGTGGCAGTTTTATTCATAACGTAGATTTCATTATACAAAAACTCAAAGGGCTTTACATGTAAAGTCAATATACACTCACTGGCCAGTTATTAGGTGCACCTTACAGTAAAAGGTTGGACCCCCCGGACATTATTTCATCATTTTCATAATCATAATTTACGAACATCATGCAATTTAATTAAATTGAAGAAGGCTTGAAATTAGAGATTGAGACCATAAACTCATGCTTACAAAGTTTACTGAATCCCCCCTCCCCCCCCCCCCCCCCCCCATCCCGGAGCCCGTGTTGGGGATTTAGAAAGAATGCAAGTTTAAGGTATTTCTGTAAATCATTTTTATCCTTTTTATCTCTAGAGCTAGTGTTTAGTTTGAGCCTTCCCTGCTCTGTACACGGATGAAAACGCTTTTGAAAATTGATTTTTTCTTATTATTAGATGATTTTAAACTAATGAAAACACATTTGTGTCACATTTAATTCCAATTCTGCCAAAAGATAACCGTAAATGGCACACACTGTCTCTAACCCTAGTAAACAATATGACTTATTCAGAAATGTATTTTGTTTTAGAATTTATCATCAGGGTTAGGCCAAGCCCAGAGTGAACAACAGCAATTAGGTCCAACGATTCATTTAGGAATTAATTAAACAGTCCGAACAGAGTTATACCAGCTCATGCAGGTAATACTAGTTTATGGAATTCACAAAAAGGAGTCATTTTATGTTGTCTCAAAATGACTGAAGTCACAACTGTTCCAGCAGCCGTGCAGAGAAAATGACCCAGTTTCTGCAGCCGTCATGCAGGGTATATTACATGAAACTTGAAACATCAAGTTAGGTTGAATGGGATTCCCAAGCATTCTTTCATGTATTTACATTGCATTTTAGATTTATGATAAATCATGTCAAAGTTTAAGCTACAGTGGGTCAAGTATTTTCTTAGTGCCTGATTTAGCAAAAATGAGATTCAAATGATCTGTAATAAAAATGGTCAATAGAGCCATTTACAGCTGGGAGCAGAAGTTACAAAACACAGAAGTTATGAAACATGTTTGAATCATAGGGAGTGTTACATGGTACAAGCGGTGTATTCAAAACTATGTGCAGGGCTATCACATGACATGGGTTCACACATGAGCCCTTCAAACTCCCAAACAGCTTTTCATCCATTGTGTAATGAGGATTAATTCTCAGCTTCGCGTCCAGACAACAAACAAAAGGAAACTCTCTTCCCGGTTAAAGTAAGGGCAGCATTTTAAGTGATCGTCTGTGTTTGTATGTGTTTGTCTCCTCTTCAGTGGACCTTTGAACTTACGCAATCCAATCACTGTTAGCCAATTCTCACTAAACCTCTTTGCGTCTTAGACTCCGCAAGACTTTGTCAATAGCTTCTCACTTCACACAGAGTTCCCACTATGTGTGAGATAGTGTGGAGGGTTATAAGTGACCTAATGTACTGTATAACTTTATATCTGCCTCTATCATCTGTTGTGCAAATTTAAATGATTTGTCAAAGCGAGTGACACTGGGCCATCTTGTATAGACCGACAGCAGCTAGTGAAACCTCTCAGTCAGAGAAGTCAGTGCATGATTTGCCAGGTCTTTGTTTGTCCTTTAGCTACTCCCATGGTTCCTGATTGGATTGGTTGGAGGGGGTCTTTTTTATTTTCTGTGTTTTATTCTGCAGCGTTACAGATGAGAGACGTTAGAAAGTAGAGAGCCAGATGTTTTTTAACGGATCACAAAGAGAGTGAATTTTGGACTTTCTTTTTAAAAAAACATGGCTACATTTGCGTGTGGATGTCGTATTGTGTCTGTTGGATGACACTGAATAAGAAACTGTGTACAAAAACAAACGATTAGCCACAATTAAAAAAGCAACAATATGTAAATGTTGTGTTTACAACTTGCTTCCCCCCAAATGGCCAAAAAACAAACTAAACAACCAAATACCACGTCTATAATTGTGCCTGTAATAATGTGTCGAGTTCCAGTCTTATTCCATCATCCAAAATATGTTTACAATTGACACAATTAGGTTTATTAGGATATCACAAGCTTCCATGTGAATGTGGTTTGTCTGATGAGGAGCTGTCCAGTCTGCAGCGGTGCTGAATCATGGTAATGTGCACCAGCATGTTTTATTTTGTCTCATGTTATGTCAAAGAAATATTTATGAGACAGGATAATAATAAAAGTCATGAACTTAAATGAAAGAGTTAAATTATTGAAATTGAATTAATAATGATAGTGTAACGCACCACAAGAGACCAGAGTGAACTCAAGCGCAGAGCGCAGTTTTATTAGCGGGGTACAGACAAGGATAAGGCGTGGTAGGGTCCGGTGAACAGGCAGGGGTCGAAAGCCGGGAGCGCGGAGGTAGGCAGAGGTACCGTCGAGGGTCAGGCAGGCGTGAACGAGGTCTAGGACAAAGGAGAGGTCAATAACAGGTAGGCAGAAACAGGATATCAAGAGAACGCTCAGAATGTGATGGCAACATGCACAAGACTTCGCACCGGCTTCTGAGACTTCGGCAGCTTAAACGCCCAACCTCTCCTGATGAGAGACGAGCCACAGGTGTGTTGGTGGGAGTGGCCGTGCCCGCTCAGTGGGCTGATCCTGAGTGGCACAAACCATTGTCACGTGCCACAGAGGGGTGACTGAGATCCCGAGCTTCGGACCTTAGTACTCCGGAGACGGGGAACGTCTGTTTGTGACAGATAGAAATGAAAAACGGGGACAAGATTAAATAAAAAAGGAGACAAGGGATGATGTATGTTAACCTGTGGCAGGAGAATTGAGTTACAGGAAAGAAACTCCAACAAAAACAATGAAGGCCACAGACACATTTGAGCCGTTCTCAGAGATAGCTCAACTAAATTTTGTCCAAACTTGTTGTTTTCAGTAAAGATGTCCAGTTTCTTTTAAATTCCCCTTGAAGTACATCTAAAAGCCCATAACGTTGATTGAACAGAACTTAAAAAACGTTGTCAGCTATTATATGTTGGGGTTTAAACACAATAATACAAATCTAGATTCTTCCCTACATTTCTGGGGCCAAAAATCTATAATCACTTCAAGCTTAAAGATCAACTTTATTGTAAGAGCAACACACTTCGGCTTCACGCTTTTACCAGGGTGACTAACACTGAGTTTCACCCAACCAAATGCCTTACAATATAGAAACGTTGGGATGCGAATAAGATAATAAGAATCTTGAATACAATTTATCTGATAAACATGTACTCATGTTTATCAGATAATATTTGTCGAGGGACACAAAAATATTTGAGGAAAACCAAATGTTCCAGAGTTTGTTGTATTTAGAGCCATCCTCTTGTTTTGGTGCCCTGAAGGTGCAACGGTGGAGCGTGCTGTAGATCAAACTTACAGTAACACCTGAATGACCACAGGGTGGCGCTGCACCCCTCCCGCAGATATGAGACCTACAGCACTGCTTGTATTTCATATAACTACTGAACAGGCTTTGGTTTAAAAGGGCAAAATAAACTCTACGCTGAAAAAATATTTATTTTAATTTCATGGGTCCCTTTTAATTTTTAGTTTTGCCTAAAAAACAACAACTTTTATTTCATTTTCTTTGAGTTTTTAGAGTTTTTATTATGAAGGTCAAATATGTTATAATTTCCAAAGGTTTTATTTTAGCGCTAGTGTTGCTGATGGGGGATGAAAAGGAATCGGGTTCCCTGAGTATTACAACTTTGTGAAAGACCTGAAATGTAAATGGAAAACAGTGTGGCAGATATTCTGACCACAAATTAGGAATCACTTCCATCATGCATCAAAAACACACACACACACACACACACACACACACACACACACACACACACACACACACACACACACACACACACACACACACTCTTCAGTTCTGACAACTAAATCCACATAAGTGTGCTGTTTGCCAGCTCTACATCTACTCCCAGTCTTTAAACCTTCAATTATCAAAGAGGCAGCTTTAATTTCTTTATAATTCTGAATGTTTCCCATCTGTTCAGTTTTTGTTGTTCTTGTTTTGTCATTTAGAATTGTTTAGCGGTGATTTTTAAATCCCCTTTTCCCCCTTCATTACAAAATGAAAAATGGTTCTTATACAGAAAATGTTATTTACGGAAGTTTACAATCCACACACTGTCCTCTCGTTGACCCCTCTTGGGACGCCGGCGCCTGATCACTTTCTTACCAGTAATTGACTCTCGC